AGTGTGTAAAGTGTGTTAGGAGGGTAAGGACCAGCAGTGGGAATGGAGTTGTTTATTTAACTTGTAAGGCCTCTGAGGTACCAACTGTGCCCTGGGTTCTGTCTCGTGGCAGTGACTTGGTCCAACACAGCATCCATGTGAACACATTCAGACACTGACTGCTGTGTCAGCGTTTGGAGACTCCTGGTCTGRTGGCATCAGCGGCACCAGAAAGCAGTGCCTTCCTCTCCTCCATGCTAGGCTCCTTCCTGGGCCTGGAATTCTGTTTCAAAATCCAGGGTATTCAGGAGCGAATTCAGGAACTGAAGCCTGCCTCTGTCTCACAACTGTCGTGAGAAAACGTGTTGAAGCTTCTGCGGTTGCTACGGGAGAAGGGATGGCAAGTACTGGGAGCAAGAGTGACTAACAGTGAGAAACTGTCTTTCTGCACAGCTATTGCAAACGACAAAGGATAAAAGAAAAAAAAATCCGGGCCTTCTGTACGCTACAAATTCTTTACACTTGCTTGAAAATAGTCAGTAAGCACTATGGGTCTCATAGGTTAAGCAAAATGCCCCTTCACCTCTTCCAATGTCTCCAAAGACCTTGCAGTGCACACAATCCCTGTTCCTAATGCTGTGCTTGTTCTCTGCTCCACCATGAGCTGAACTTACATAAGTAGGCACAGAGAACAGCTTCTAAACAGGGGCCTATATTTACACTTTCTTTACACTAATGCACATTATATTATGATGGAACCATAGATGACAGTTAACACATTGTACTTGGCAGGATGCAAATTAAAAGAACTAACTGCTTGTATATTTATTTTCAAAGGAAGCAGAAGACAGTACATGGGTAAAGTTCACACATACCCATTATCTGTCATAGCTTGAAGAGAAGCCTTAAAAGTCCCCAAATTTCCACAACTAAAAATCACAAAAGAAGTAAAGAAGAGGGAAAAAATAAAAATTAGATTATACTGCTGTCAGAAAAGTTTAATAATTTTCACTAGCTGAGGCGCAGAGAACAAATATAGATTAATATAAATATATAAAGTAYAATTTAATATGATATAAATATAATATTAATTAATATAAATTATAATATTAATTAATWKAWATTATATAAATATAAAATACAAAATGCCAAGCACCTCTTGGGATATTAGCTGCAACAACAGAACATAGCCTGTTTGAGAACTTAAATTTTATTGMTTCATTTTCACTGATGCTTCTCTTTCCTGGAGAATGATTTCCTTGTGATTCCTTTCTTRCATACAGACACAGTGGACAGAAACAACCTCAGTGCAGTCCAGGGGGTTACACTATACTGCCACCAGCAAGAGGATAACCAGATACCTCTACAGGTACAGATACAGGTACAGATACCTCTGACACTATGCCTTTCTTCTGCCCTGAACAGAGAAAAGCCTCATCATTAGGTAAAATCATAACAAATCCAAGAAACGGAAAGTTTCAGCATCCACTCTAACAGGGGGAGGGTGAAGCCAAGGGCAAAGAAAGGCAGAGGATGCCTGAGGATGGCAGAAGTTGACAGAAAGATCTCACTAGGATCAAACCTAACACAGAGGAAGCTGAAGCACTGAAAAGATATTTTTATACGGTTTGTTGGCTTAGGAGARAGCTTCAATTATTTATTGACATTGCTTCTGTAATTATAAATAAGCAATCAGGACAAACAAAAYTCATTTTTCTTCACAGTTGGAAATTTATTCAATCTACTTGGTATATATGTGCCCTCTTTGCAAATAAGTATGGTCAGAACCTGAGAGTCCTGTGGAACTGTTCCTGGARTACAAGATTCTCCTGTTTCATCTAACATTCCAAATTCATATTCATCCCAGCATGGTCCTGGGTAATTCTTCTCACTGAGAAAAGTACTTGCATGACCTTAGGGAACCAAGATTTTTAGCATCTTACAGCCCTGTAAGAAACTGCTTAAAAGAAAAAAACTGCATGATCCCATCACTCCAAGCTTAACCTTGCTGATGGCACAAGGGCCTCGGAGCCCTTCCATCGCTAGCATCTCATGACATATAACGCTGAGAAAGAAAGCACTGCAGCAAACCAGATTTATCAGCTGTCCCATGACTCACAGTAGGTTTGTCCCCAACACAGAGTGCAGAACTCAAGATATCATGAAAATTCACCAGAGCCACAAATTATGAATCATACCACTCCCTTTCTAAAAGGAGATGCAGAGCAAATATAACTACTACTACTAAGTCAGTAACTCCTTCAAGGCAAAGTACATTCCAAATTATTTTAAACACAAAAGCCTGTGTTCARCAGGCCAACAGTGAGCCACAGTCATGTCTCCAGCTATCATCCTGCCTCTACGCTCACAAAAGAATTTGGGAAGTATTAACTATGAATAAGTTTCAGTCACTGATGGCATCAGCCACTATCCTGGATGTTTCACTTACAAGCCTATATTGGAATGCAGCAGGAAGAAAAATCCAGGGGCCACACACACTGTTAGTCACAGTTAAGAGCTGGACTGTCTCTTTGCAGTATTTGAATCCAGTATTGACAGCTCAACTATACGAMAGAACAGGATGGGCAGCAGTCCTGCTGCTCCAGCCACCCTTTTCCTCCCGCAGAGAGGCRGCTGCAGGCAGTTCCTGTCCTCCTGCTGACGGGCAATGGGCTACTGGTGCTGAACAGACACACGGGAGAGAAGATGGAAAACAAGAACTGGAAGAAAAGATGAGGATGAAGAGGATAGAGAGAAAAAAGTTAACAAATCTAGAATTGAGCTGAGTAGATGTCAGGCAGGTGGAAACTTCCCTTTTGCAAAAGAATTGAGACTGAATTTCCCATTATGTCTCCCAAGAAATGAAAAGTCACTCCCAAACTAATATCTATGCTGGCATTTTAGACAGACTATATCAAACAAATTTTTACGAGAATTATAGAAAACTGACATCAAACAATAAATTCTCACTGGAAATTTAACTTTCAAAGCTAATTTTCTTAAAGGTCATGGAATGCAATGTTTTTCAGGAACACTTTCAAAAGCAATTTTCATGGTATCAGAGAGGTGACAAAGAATATTATGAAAATATAAATTTAAATGTTGATATTTATCTTTCATTCATTGCACTGACAATCAGATTACATTACATAATATGGAAGATGCTTCAGCTACTTTAGAATAGTTCGATCTCATCTATATAGACACAAAAGTGGCTAACTATTGGAAAAAAGAAAAATGAGATAAGCACCTATGCTAATGAGAGCATCCATTTCTGTATGTGCTTAGGAGCAATATATATAATGTCTTCTTTCATCAAAATTTTTATTTATTTATATTATTAGCATGTACTGTGAGCAAGTCTCTTGGTTTGTATCTTAAAGACAAATACACCTAAATAGGTATTAGAAGATCTCTCCATCAGCGCTGGAGAAAAGGAAGATTCATCACTGGCCAGACCTGCAAAATGCTTGGTTTGGAAAGTTGTGAGAGTGATATCAAGCCTGTGCCTGGATTTCATCCTCTTTCTGTGAATTTCTCAGCAGCAGAACCCCTTAACTCAAGCAAATAAATTTCAAACAACTAGAATTGCCCATTATGTTTGTGTGTCTTTATCTGGACACTGAAAAAATATTTGTTTTCTGGAACACACACTTAAGAAGCGTCTAGATTAGAAAGTACAAATATACTGGCTGATTTGAAATAAAGGCAGTCAGTCTTCCCAAATTAAACACTCAAGTGAAGATATTTCCAAATAGAGCAATGAACTATAAATGCAAATCACACAAAGAGGATAGTCTCATGTTTAAAACATAGGAGTAAGAGCTATTAGATCTTGGTTTCCCTTCCTAGTTCTGAGGCTTGTCTTTTCCTCTTGATCTTCAGTAAATTATTTATTGCCAAGTCTTAAATTTCCCCAGATTCAGAAAGAGGCAATTAGACTCCCTAGCTCAAAAAAGCAGCGTTGTAATAATTAATTCATTATTCTTTGCAGGGCACTCTAGAATTATTAGAAATTGCTGTAGAAATGCATTATCAGTGCTATATTACAATCCAGTGCTATATTACACAACACCTGCAATACTCTGCAATACCCAAAATAACTCTGCATATATCTTGTAAGAATTTATAGTAATCTAAATTAAAGTCAATGATATCTTGAGTCTTAAACCAATGTCTTTTTTATGAAGGTGCAATGTAAAAGAAGGAAAAAAAATCCCGTCTTTAAAATAATACAACTTCTCTTGGCAGTAGTCTATCCTCGTAATTTCTTTCAGTACTATATTATACACATATTAACTGTAACGACAACAAGCATGTGGAAAAAAAGATTGCTAAATAAATTCAAGTGCTGAATAACAAAGAGCCACTGTAGATTCTGAAAACAAAAATCAATGGGCTAGCACAAGCCCCACTACAAGCAGAGGCATGACCAACATCATATGCCTCACTAGAAAAGCAGTAAAGAAAAATTTTTAAAACTCAGCTTTTCCAAAGCACAGCATGTTTTAGATTCAGTGGCTGGAAAAATCACCTTTTCAAAATTAATTTGTTTGCTTAAAATTGAGATAGATCTTATAGGGGTCTTTGACAGTCAAGATTGTTTTTATCCACTTGCTCATGTAATGGCAAACACAACTGTATCTGAGAATTGGACTGTCTTTGCTGTAAGCRCAAATTGGTCATCCGTCTCTTGAAACATCTGGTCAGATATTTACTAGACAGTGCTGGACATCTCATCACTTGCATATTTTCAAGATAGCTGCTTGAAGAAATTAGAGGTACAATTCCAAACTCCTGCCTCAAACTAACTTGTATGTGAACAGGAGTGAAAAGTGATGATAGATATCTTGGTACATAAGCAATTTGCCTAATGACAGGAAGAATTAAAATGGAATCAGTAGGAAAACTGGTTTTGAGGGAAACTGTTCTTGCAGACAACTTACTTAAAATCTTTTAAAGATATATATTCTATAACACATCAAAGTGATACAACTAAGAGATGTCGAAAGTTTCATTACCTGTTGGTCATCTGGAGTCCATATACCACAGGTGATCTGACTCTCCAGGTTTATTTCTGAAGACCAGTGTCTTTGCCCACTGACTGATCCAACCAGCACGAATCCATCTCTATAGGAGATAAGTGCTTGAGTCCCATCATGGCTCCACGTAAAGTCACTCACCTTAAAATTTTAATGATAAGAAAACAGATATAGTGGCCACATAGTAGTTTTGTAGTGTAGTACCATCATGTACTGAAAAATAACACATTTCCATAAAACTAGTGATTGGAATGTTGAATAGATATATTTGAAAAAAGGTGTGTTTTTTTGCAAAAACAATGGGTGACTCAACCTCTCTTAACACTTAAAAGGAAGGAAAAAGTGGACTTCAATACCACTAAAATTTTTTTGCTCACTTCAGGGCTTACAATGTTCAATTTCTCAAAGTCTGAAATGTCAAATTCTGAAGGTCAAAAACAGTTRGATAAAATAACCAACCTTGTGACACTTCTTGCCTACTCCTTTCAGTAAAGACATGTTTTGCTTTCTTTCATGCCTTCCTAAATGTATACAGTGCTATTCACTTTCCTTTTCATTTATGTCTCTCAGGACGTGACCATTGGTGACTAAGAGGAAATATTCATTCCAACCAACCTGTGCCCCACGATCATTCACAAGCTCCACAGACCATCTGCCTTCATATTGTATCCAAACAAATATTCCTCCGTCTGCATCACACGTTGCTAGTTTCTGAAATGGTTCGTTCCATCTCACCAGCACAACCTAGAAGATTTCAAACAAAAACAGCATTACCAAAACTGTATATGTAACATTTTTACCATAATCAGTCAAATAATACCGCAAAACAAATAATGTCTTGTTTAAATTCTAAATAAGACCTTCAAAACAGTGATTTTCCGCGTAACATAGGGTGCTCTCAAGAAACAGCTGAACTCATTGTCTCATGGTGGTCAGGCAGTGCAGCATCTCTCACCGTTCAAGCCTTTCTGGAAGGCACTGCACACTCTTAAAAAGAACACGCTATACATTGCAGCCTAGGACTTCGTTATGGAAACAGCAAACCAAGGGCCCCATATAAATCATTCAACACATTTTCAAATGATTTCCCTCATCGTAACGATGACTATCAGAGTCTAGGTCAAATTCTGAACTCTGATGACTTACAGACAAGTTGAATTCACTGAAACTAGATTGAGTTCGACTACTCAAATCAACAATTACATGAACAAGATTTTAGACTTCCAAATTACTAAAATATAAAATTTCACAGAAATGCTAGAGCACRGAAAGAAAACATTACAAAAGCAGATAGGCTGACGTTGCACTCCGTGTCTATCCTCTAAACAAGACCACTACAGATATTTCAAAATGCTCTTTACATTGCTCMCATATAGATATACAGATAACAACTCACATACAGTGCCATCACTTCATCTACATTGAAACGAAATGCAACTATGTAACTGCATTCACCAGTGATGCCTGACAGCATTACAAAAGAAATGAAGAAAGCACCAGCAGTAACATAAGGATAATATTGTAAGATCTTAATCTCTGAGGACTGAGAGCAGCTACAGCTGAAAACTACTCTAAACAGATTTGAGGATTCGTTATCAGCACTGGAAGTCAAAACATTAATGCCTCGACTGGACATCTGATATCTATCAGATATCAGAACAGAACAATAGAATATTTTGCTAGAATAAATCACCAGAAGAATACAGMAAAAAAAGATAAAACAATTTGCTCAAATAGTATCATGTGTTTTGATACCAACAAAGGTGCTACAGTCAGTCTTAAAATGCCCTGTTTCCTCTGGCAAAGATTCAAGATGAGCGTATGATTTTGTAGATCACACATACCGGTTGACTTAATGATATAAATTATGGATAAAGTGACAATCGTTAAATTGATGCAGTGTGTGTCTTTGCTATTTAGAATAGGATCCTTACTACAACTTGATGATAAATTTTGATTCAAATTTTATACTATCCATATTTTCTTTGAATTTGATAGAACATCCAAGGATACATTTAAATGTAAACAAGATTAAGTAGATCCATATTCCAAAATCTCTGCCTGGTGAGCTATGAAAGTCAAAATGAACTGGTGGCTTTAAGAATAATAAATATATTCCTTTAAAATTACAGATGAGAGAGAGACAGTGTTTTTGTATACATTATGATAACACGTTCATAAAGAAGTAATTTTATAACAGCATTTTAAAATTCAACTTTTTAAAGCACAAAGCAAATATTATCATTTTATGAGGTCATTTTAAAGACAATTGTCATTGACATTTAACATATGACYGCAGGTGCTGATTTTACAATTGCTTTAAGAGTCTCCAATTTCATTTTAGGACACTTAGCATATGTGAAGCTGACATAAAGCAAGTAAGAAGGACTGTCCAAAGTATTAAGATGGCTTTCATGTTGGCTAAAATGCAAAACGTATGAAAGCAAGTCCCACTGATACCACACTTAAATAATGCATAAGCTTTGTACTAGCTGGCTGAAAGAGGCATTTCACTGCTAAGCCATAAATCCAAAGACATCATTACTTTCTCTAACAGCTTCAACTCACAAAGGCCCCATTTTTACTTCCGTTATTTTTTACGGTTCCCTGCTTGCCAGCTTAGCATCCTCRTGCAGGACTAAACTGTTTAATCTTGTTTTGAAATACCATTTTTATTGTTTCATTTTCAACCTCATTTCGGGGGATTAAATTTAATTAACAAGGTGCTAGCAACTGTCCCCCAGAAATGACTGAATAAATTAATGGTATGAACAGAGGAAAACTGGAAAAGGATGTAACCTTTCAAACCCATTCTTGGGAAACTAAGCCTCTTCCTAAGCTGTAACTTTCAAACTAGACATTAAAAATAATTAGGTTTCTATTCAAAGCATTTATTACTTTTTCTTTTGAAAAATCAAAATGAGCCATTAATGCCAGAGCTCCTGCTGTATGATAGGACTTCAAATGTCATCCCCTTGCAGAAGAGAGATGTTTAAGCATTTGCATCCACCACAGCCCTAAATTTGGGTGGATAACGACAACACACTTTCATCTTTTGCTCTTTTCACTTTCTAAAAGTACAGGATTATTTATCAATGAAAGACATATTCTACAGAAATCATCACGATTACACAAGAATATATATTATTGTGTAAGAAAGCAGGCATAATTCACTAAATGAATCAGAAAACTTACAATTTCATAAGTTGCTCAACTTTCTGCTTCAGATTTTTGTCTCCCAAGGGTGCTAAGCCAACGAAAAACCCACGCAGWGACCAATGCCCAAAACACAAGCGCGGTGGGAACTGTTGGGGCACGTCCTACCACAGGAGGTGCAGTCCCCGTTTGACAGCCCTTCCCTGGAATGGCAGCTCTGAAGATGTTGCTCCATTCTCCCACAGAGTCCTACTGCACAACGATGTTCACTTCTCCAAGGGAATCGACCAACAAGACAGAACCAACTCTTCACCTTCATGTTTTCCACTAATATTTAGGTCACTTGCAGTCTAACAGACGTTCATCTCCATTACTCAGCATGGCAACACTTCCCAAGATATAAGGGACTAACTGCCAAGCTCTGCCAGCCCTCACCAGCTCAGCAGTTGGAAGCCAAGTAGTGCAACTTATTACCAATAAGTGTTCCTTTATAGTTAGATGTTCCAGACTTAGTAAATTATATAAGCTCACATAAAATACAACCTTTTCTAGGCCTATTTTAGATCTCTGATTATTCATTTTAATTTCTTCTATTAAAAAGACTTTTCTAGCAGAAATATTTGAAAGAAGTGACTAAATATAAAACTGTAGTTTGATGTTAAGAGCATTTATAATGTTAAAGGCATGTTCATGCAAATAAAACTTTTTTGGTTTAATTTGTTAAAATATTAATTTTGAGGTAGAGAAAGGAAAATTCTGCAAAAACTTCAAATACTTCAGTTTGGGAAATCTGAAATGGATATAATGTTTTCTTATCAAGAATTTTCACTTATGAATTTTCACCTGGAATTTTTATACACATATTACAAATATTGGATGATTATTATACATTTTTTAATACAGAATTAAACCATCTGAATCTATCTTTACAAAGACAATTTTTATGAAAAATTTTATTAAGTTTCATTTTTAATCAAATATATTCACTGTAAAAATCTTGTTCAGGTCTAGAGAGAATCAAGCCACCCACTCAGAACATGAAGGCACCTGCAGCCTCACGCACATTCCCTTGTCCTCAGGCGCCTCAGATTTTATCCATTCCTGATCAACAAGACAAGAGTTCGTGAAACCAGGCCCCTGGAAGTCAGGTGATAAACACAAATGGATTACAAACTTGATTATATCTGGAATGAGCTGTCTTGTCATCTTGGATATCTTTATGCTATCCTCCTTCCAGTCTTCTCAGATACGTACTTAACTAGTTGTCTTGGCTGAYTTTTTTCTCCTCAATGTAATAAAATTGATAATATATTAAAAGAGAAGTCACTTAAGAGAAAATATTTTTAACTTTATTTGGGGAACTGACCTACATGGATATGTTTCCTTTTACAGTATTAAGCTGAAGACCTCATTATTTTTATTAGAGGAAGACAGGAATGAGAAATCATCCTATTTCAGATATAATGAGACGCCTGATCAGGTTGCCTGAGGATGTTGTATTTCTAGTCTAACTAAATCAAAAACAAAAGGTTTAATGATACAGCATAATAAGGACTTCTAAAATGCTCATTAAAAAAAAAAAAAAAAAAAGACTGCACCCGATTCTGATCAGGGCAAACAACTGAAAACACAAACCTTTTGGGATTACACACCATCACGCCCTGCAGCTTGGAAGCTTAATTCAAAGAAATTGTAGGATTCCCCGATGTTCTCTGCTATGACGGTGCCACCTCATTATACATCCTGCTTTGCACCAACTATTTCTGTTCTGCTCCAGGCCACACTGACTCTTACAGGGTCAGTGAAAAAGGCATCGGAAGCCACTACAGTATCACCTTGTACTACAGACCAGATTTCTGTTATTTTCCCTCTTCAGCTGTTTTCTTCCACAGTTTGACCTCTCTATACGTCCTCAAGCAACTCTCTTTATATCACATTCCAGTTCTCACTGTTTAACAAAATGTGTACATTTTAATTTGTTAGTCTCCAAATTTCCAACTTTCTTCTCCTGCCCAAGACCTTCTAAATAAAATAMTGGCTTATTAATATTCAAAATTCTACTTTAAAATATCTACAGTCAACTATAAACTATGCATTCCTGTGTAATAGACTAAAAAGAATGAGATAATTGACAAATTCTGAAAGAGAAACTACCAACTCTAGMAATGAGCCACAGTTACTTTGAACTCAGTTCCCAGATGTTATTTGAAAAAAGCATTGTGTTGTAGCAAAGGAAACTTCTGTATTGTACTAAATAAAAAGACAAGAGACAATTTTCATGATTATACATTTAATTATGTTTTTAAATTTCCATTTTTGTTTTATTTAGATGTGTTTTAGTCCATTACTACAGCTAAGAAAACAAAGTCCAATCAACCTCTGGAGTGAGACACTGTCAAATTTCTTAGATACTGAAACAGCAAGACCATCTTCCAGCTAGCAATGTTACTATTTATTAAAGTTTAGACAAGGAATTTTGAGTAATTACATACTTTTGAAATAGTGACTTATGAAATGTGATTTGTAGCAATTGTAACTTCTTCCCAACAGAAGGCAGACCATGATTTATATTCATTACACAAATGCAG